ACAAAAGCTAAGGCATCCAACTACATTAAGGCTGCATGAGCACCATGCAATTCCAGCTATGAAGAGAAGGAGGCTGGGTTTTTGTGCTGAAATGGGCTGATGACCACTTGTGTCATCTTGCGTGGATTTATGTGGTGCTAATTGCACACGAGAGTTTTTTCTATGTGTGAGAACCATGAGCAGCCACCATTCTTGCAGACACAGTCTCTTGTCTTTGTACATCAGGGGGGTTTTTTGTTGTTAAATGTACTTAACATTTGGAGGCATTTTTGTATGCATCCACATTGCACACTGCACATGTGGATGATGCTGTGTTGCATACTGGCTGAAACGTGTACTGGCATCCAGCATGTTTTTAAACACACTGTTGAACTCGTATGCTAGAACTACACTCTTCTCTGTAGCTGGCTGATGGACCAGCAACAACACAGAGTAGCCCACAAACCAGTTGTGCCACTTATTTCTGATATCAACCCCATCTGACAACAGATGCTCTATGCAGCTGCCTACGCGCTACCTTCACTTAACCATAATTTGACCCATTAGACTGCTTCTGTGACCTAGATAAGTGGCAGAAGAGACAAGGTTTCAAACCTTGTCTCTTCTGTATGTGGCACATGAGTATGTGACACTATAAAACTATTTCTATAAAACCTGCCAAATATTTTTTTTTGTTTTAATTACTGGACAGTAATTACTAGATGTTTTAGATTAGATATTTTCCGATTATTTTTATGTATTTTACTTGTTAAAATGCTGAAATAAAAAGGCACCATTATCCAAATGTATAAGAATCAACCGCAGAAGATAAAAGATAAAATGTAGAGATTTTTAGGCCCAGGGTGAGGTTAATTTTGGTAACTGGGGGCCGGCTTTACACCTACAGTCTCACACGGCCATTTATTCACACCCTGTCTGGATAACAATACTCGGAAAGTTTGTCTGGAATCCCAAAAATCTCCCCTAGCAACTCCCACAGCCTAACGCCTATTGGCCAGATCCTCCATCAGTTTCTGCACTGATGACTCAGCTGCTGTAGCTTCCGCCTCTGAGCCACACACTCAAACACAATGTACACACAGGAATGTGGGCCATAAATGAGAGCTTGGTGTACACTCCATAAGGATGCTAGACAAGTCTGGGCAGCCTGAAACCAAATGCATGGCAACAAACCCACATCCATAGGCATACACGCACACACACAGACACAAAGTCATCCTGCTGTGTACAAAGAACTGGGTGGGAGGTTAGAGTGTGAAAGGAAAAGAGTTCCGTTTAGAAACTCCAGCAAAATCACCTAAAGATGTCACCGAGTATGAACAACCCTGTACTGTATTTACTCTACATCATGGAATGAAAGGGATATTATTTCATGCTTTGACAAGAGGTCTGAAATATTATAAAACTGACCCTTAGTGGTTTCCGTGCACTCTGCTACATTGTCACTGTCATGCGTCTTTAGAGAAACGAGTGCATCACTATAAAGGGAAGCAGATTCCCTTGCCATGTGGATAAAAGATGATTGGGGGGTCTTCTTC